GTCCAAATCTTCCTTGGAAAAATTTCTGGGTTCACTTTACATTCACAAAAAGGAGATTGAGGTCCCAATACTTCATATCTAAAAAAATGGTCATGACCATTTTATTTTGAAAACTTGTAAAATTTACTTTCTTTAATGATGTATAGCATAAGCATCTTCAAGCAATGAAATTTCTTGGGTGAATCTTCCCATACAGTAATTTATTTTCCCTTCCCTCTCTCTCTGTCTCACATTCAAATACACACACACACCCACACAAACACACACTTTTAAAAACAGTGATACCAAAACATGGTAAAGCAAAGCCTTTCTGGCTGCAGAGAAGGCAGAAGGCTTTTCATGTAAGCCAACCCTGAATGCTTCATGGAACATGGCTTGAAAGCCTTTGCTGCAAAATTCAGTGGCTTCCCTAGGCCACTAAACAAATTGYTAAAGTAGAATGTTAATTTTTCTGAACAGGTGAACTGTTGAGGATGTAAATAAAAAAAATGGTAGTTTTTGTCCCCTGAGGCAATGACAATCATTGAAATACATTTCCTGGAGTCTCTAACAAAAGCATGTGGCAGCASTGAGTGAAGTTCAGTACAAGGAGGCTACCAGTTCCAATCCCAAGCTTCTCCTGAACCTGTGAAGACCCCATCTGCTTGCTGTTCCTAACATGGTATGAAGATGGCATCTTGAAGAYAGCACTGCATACAAAAATGATGCCCAAATTTTGATCTTTGTATCTGCATTCTACACAGCAGGAAAGGGGGAAAAAAAAGGAAACAAATTTGCTTCTTTTAGGAGATMTCCTGGAAAACCCACCCAATAATATAATAGCCAAAAATTAACACAAGGCCATATCTAGCTGCAAGGGAGCCTTGCATGATGCCCATTGGTAGGACAGAGTGAATCATTCACAATGATACAGGAATGTCTAGGCAGAATTGAGCACCCCTCTTCATTTTGCATGTGTTMTGTGTATTCACTTTATGTGTATCACAGTCAAGATGCAGAACTGCACTACCTGCCAAAACCTCTCTYGTGCCTATTCCTTACATTTACACCTTTCCCTGTCACTACCCACTGGCAACCACTGGTCTGTTTTCCTTCATTATAGTTTTGCTATTTYGTTGACATCATATATAGAATCAGATTATGTAACCTTTTGAGACTGGTTTCTTTCACTCAATATAATGGCTTTGAGATTCATTTAGCTTGTTGAATATACAAACAGGTTATTCCTGTTTGTTGTTGAACAGTATCCCATGATACAAATGTACCAGTTTTATTCATTCATCTTTGAAGGACATTTGGATTATTTCTGATTTTTGGCAATTATAAGAGTTGYTATTTGTGTGCATGTTTTTGTGTGAATGTTAAGTTCTCATTCAYGCATACATTTTTATTTTGAGCTTACACACAGGACGTTAGTGTATTTTCTCCCCGCTGTGAACTAAATACACCTCCAGATTTTGCCTGATCCATAGCAAACAGAGTACAATGGTTAAGAGTACTGTTCCTTGCCTATATTTAAATTTCCACTCTGTTATTTAATAGTGATATAACACTAACATAAAAATGGTAATTTTTAATCATATCACCTGAGGCAATGATTATCATTGAAATACATTTCCTGTAGTCTTTTTAAAATGCATGTTGCAGCGCCAAGAGTTCAGTTCAGTACAAGGAGGCTACCAGTTCCAATCCCAAGTTTCTCCTCAGCCTGTGAAGACTGTTACTTGACATCTCTATCCCTCAATTCCCCCCTCCTGGAAAACTGGGTCGAGCAGAGTTCCTGTCTTCCAGAGAGTCTTGACAACCCTATGCTTGCTGAGGTCAAGGCAGTGTTTCAACATTTTCCTATCCCTACTACCTAGTAAAGTTCATGGCAGAATATAAGACGCTCCTAAGTTTTTGTAGATTACAAGACTTCAGCAGTYTTAAAAATCCTTATATAACTGTTTAAGTACTATTATGTCTTCGTTTGTGAGCACCTAAGCAGCCCAGGAGKTTCTCTAGGCAGTTTGAAACATTTTTTCATTAAGATAAACATGAAACATCGACATAACTATTTTAAACATTTTTCTSACAGAAAATTTTCCTTAAAATTCACTCCATGAAGATTTCCTTTTATGGAAATGAARTAGTAAAGACTGAAGAGCACACTCACTAGCTTCAGTGCCTTTCTGATGTCACACTAATTTACTTTCTGAATCAAAGTGTGCAGCTAAGATCAAACAGAAGCTATGGATTTCAATAGGGCATGCGAGTTCTCGGAGGGGAGTTCAGGTTCCGGGCCTGAGGAAGGGCTCTGTACTTGTGTGGACACGGCCGCTGACCCTGAGCAGGCCCCTGGTCTGGTCTCAGGACTCCTCTGGCCTGGTTCCTGGCAGCCGCGGTGCCACCGCTGGGCTTCCGCGCTCCTGCGCGTCCCCTCGGGCTGAACCACCAGGACCGGTTTCAACCCACAGAGTGGCCGTCAGGGACAGAGCCGCTCAACCCGGTGCGCGGCTGGCGGTGGCCTGCCTGGCCGTTAGGACGACCGCCCCCCCCCCCCCCCCCCCCCCCCCCCCCCCCCCAGGCCCTGCGAGTGGCGATGGAGACCCTAGTCACCTCTGCAGGACACTTCACCCCTGCAGGACACTTCAGCGCGGGCCTTTTCTTTCCACCAACTACTTTCCTCATTATCTTGAGAGAGAACTTGAAAAACCCCGGGAGTTTATACAGGAGAAGTCACTAGACAATCGGCCCGAGCCCAGGGCTACCGGCCTCGCAGTCCCGACTCCTCACGAAGCCAGGGCTACGCCGGAGACCGCCCACTGGGCTGCCCACTAGGCGAGGCGCGGCGAGGCCAAGTCCACGGCTCTGGTCAGGCCGTCCCGTCGCGCCAAGAGGCAGGCGACCCGCCCGGGAGCCCGCGGGGAAGTGCGGCGAGGCCCCGGGGCCCGAGTGGACGCGGGAGGCGACGCGGCCGGCAGGTGCCTCTGCCCGGCGGGCGCTTCCGCCTACCTGCCCGCGGGGCCGGAAGTCACCTAGCGGGCCCGCGGCCCCGGCTTTGTTAGCGCGTCAACTGCGCGGAAAGCGGCCGCTGGGCTTCCTGCCCGCCTCTCACAGCGCCACCGGGGAAGGCGGAGCGAGGCGGGAGAACCGTCAGAAGACACCGGCGCTCTACACTACACTTTTCGCTGGGGCCGCGCTTCAGGAGGGCGGCCAGGGAAGAAGCGCATGCGCGAGCTGCTTCTCAGGCGCGTGGAGGAAGCCACGCATGCGTAGAGCGGTCGCCCAAAGATGGAGCGCCAGGGTGACTGGCAGGTTGAGTGCGCTTGAGGGGTGGTGGAGGCCGTGGCAGCCTGGACGCGCGTGCGCAGAGCGCGTGAGAGGGTGGAGCTCCGTCAGGGGGCCGGCGGCGAGTAGTGCCGGCCTCGCGCGCCCCCTGGCGCGAGCCCGGGGAGCCGCGAGCGCGGGCGGGGCGAGGCGGCGCGGACGGGGGAGGGGCGCGGAGCGAGGGAGGGCTCATCGACCGGGCGATTTTGGTTAAAATATTCAAAATGGCGGACGGAGGAGCAGCGAGTCAAGATGAGAGTTCAGCGGCGGCGGCGGCAGCAGCAGGTAATCATTACGGCATTTTACATATTCATATTCATACTCGGCCCGGCTCCCGCGGCCCCCCCGCGACTTAGCATAATTTATTAGTACTCAGGATTATTATAATTAACGGCGGGGAGCTGGGGGGCCGGAGCGCGAGCCCCC